ATTTGGAAAAGTTGCAACCCTTCGGAAAGGTCACAACCTTTCATAAAAGTCACAACTTTTCATAAAAGTCGCAACTCTTCAAAAAAGTCACAACTCTTCAAAAAAAGTCGCAACTTTTCATAAAAGTCACAACTTTTAATGAAAGGGGAAGGCTAGTTTTGGAAATAAATAAATTAAAAGGGAATCCTAGATTCTGGTGGCGTCACGTAGGCGGGACTAAGGTTCTCTTTTATATATGATATATGATATGATATGATATGATGATTGTAAATAAATTAATTTTATTTTTAAAAATAGACATCAAATATAATATAAGTGCTTACTTAAGGCATAAGCACTTTAAACTTAAAACTTGGTCAAATTTTGATTACTGAAATCCAAATAATCTAGTTAAAACCAACATGGGTTGTAGTGCACTAGTGGGAGTGCTTCACCCTTAACCAGAGGTCTCGGGTTCGAGCCCTGGGTACGGAGAAAATCCTATTGAGAGCGCCACCCCGGAATGGGCCCTACAGTGCGCGATTCGGATTTAGTCGGAGCTCCAATGTGGGCTCCGGACACCGAGTGGGAAACCAAAAAAAAAATCTAGTGAAAGACAAACCATTTTCATCACACCCTTTATCATTATTGATTCTGGCTATAAAGTACTTTTTTGCCGCACAACTTCATACTTATTTTTCTCATCACGCACAAAATCTCTCTCTCGTCACGATTGTTAAGGGAGTTTTTCTACAAATCTGCAGTAGTTATTTGTTTATAAAATGAGAATCCATTCTCGTCCTTCCTCATCTTCGACCAAAGGTTCTCTCAAAAAATCCTTCTTTTACTCATCCTTTTTTTCTTGTGTTTCTACTTGCGATCATACAACTTGTTTATTTTGATATGATTTGCATTTGTTTTTCTTGAATCTTATTGAGTGAACAAGTAAAATAGATTTTTTAGGGTGTGTTTGGTATGGAAGAATTTAAAACTTTTTCATGTTTTTGTTGGTTAAAAATATTTTTTCTAGAAACATCAAGTACTAAAAATCATGAAAATGACTTCCCAACAAGGAATTCATTTATCCAACCCATAGTGGGGTAATTTAGTGGTCAAAGGGAGTGACATTATTGGTTCAAACATTAAATGAAATGACACTAAGTTAATTATTCCCAAATTTTGTGATAGAGTTTTTCGATACTTGTGTTGATTAGAGATAACAGGTGCCTAGAGATAGTCAACACACCAACGTTATAAAACCTCTCTCTCTTTCTCTGGTGGTCACAATTGTTGAGGGATTTTATCTACAAATTTGCAATAGTTATTTGTGTATAAAATGAGGATCCATTCTCGTCCTTCCTCATCTTCGACCAAAGGTTCTCTCGAAAAATCCTTCTTTTACTCATCCTTTTTTTTCTGGTGTTTCTATGTGCGATCATACAACTTGTTTATTTTTATGTGATTTGCATTTGTTTTGCTTGAATCTTATTGAGTGAACAAGTAAAATCGAGTTTTTAGGGTGTGTTTGGTATGGAAGAATTTAAAACTTTTCATGTTTTTGTTGGTTAAAAATATTTTTTCTAGAAACATCAAGTACTGAAAATTTTCATGACTTCCCTGCAAGGAGTTCATTTATCCAACCCATAGTGGGGTAATTTAGTAGTCAAAGGGAGTGACATCATTGGTTCAAACATTAAATGAAATGACACTAAGTCAATTATTCCCAAATTTTGTGATAGAGTTTTCCGGTACTTGTGTTGATTAGAGATAACATGTGCCTAGAGATAGTCAACACACCAACGTTATTCTCTCTCTCTCTCTCTCTCTCTCTCTCTCTCTCTTCCTCTCTCTCTCTCTCTCTCAATTGTTAAGGGATTTTTTCTACAAATCTGCAATAGTTATTTGTGTATAAATGAGGATCCATTCTCGTCCTTCCTCATTTTCGACCAAAGGTTCTCTCGAAAAATCCTTCTTTTACTCATCCTTTTTTTTTGGTGTTTCTATTTGCGATCATACAACTTGTTTATTTTGATGTGATTTGCATTTGTTTTGCTTGAATCTTATTGAGTGCACTAGTAAAATCGATTTTTTAGGGTGTGTTTGGTATGGAAGAATTTAAAACTTTTTCATGCTTTTGTTGGTCAAAAATATTTTTTCTAGAAATCAAGTACTGAAAATCATTAAAATGACTTCCCTGCAAGGAGTTCATTTATCCAACCCATAGTGGGGCGATTTAGCAGTCAAAGGGAGTGACATCATTGGTTCAAACATCAAATGAAATGATACTAAGTGAATTATTTCCAAATGTTGTGATAGAGTTTTTCGGTACTTGTTTTGATTAGAGATAACATGTGCCTAGAGATAGTCAACACACCACTGTTATATCTGTTTGACCCTTACTATTTGTTTTTATTAAGGAGTAAATGGGTTGATAATTGATTGAACGAATATTATTAATGATAAGAGTCCCACATTAGCCCTTTAAAAATGGGAGCACCTTATTATATGAACTTGGACAATGTTCTCCTTATTAGCTAGGTTTAAGATGAATCGAACACCAATATATGTTCAATCCAAATGGATTGATGAATGAATTTACTCATCAAACACGAAGAAATTAAAAAACATAGAAATAGCACAATAAAATACTAGTAATAAATTCTTATAAAGAAAATAAGGCAAGCTTTTAAACTTGTTCGTGTATCGGGGACAATACTTGTCTTCATCTAGGGTAAACAAGATATTTTGTCAAATGCCCACCTTACTATGCCTAAGCAACAAAACAAAACTTTTATAAATAGAAAGAAAAAAGGGAAGATCATTAAATGAGGTTTGCGAGTATTATTGGGGAGAATGATATTTCCTAATAGGAATATTGCGAGTTTGTTCCCATCCTTAGAAACAAGTGGGCCTATTTGGTTTAAAATTTGTCCTTTTGATTTTTAGTTTTTTTGTGTGTGATGAAGAATTTCTCTGAGATGACATGTGTCAATCATATATATATCCACTATGTGTTGTATATAAAGTAAATGATGTGGTTGTACTTGAATGTGAATTATGAAATTAGGAGAACAAAGCTGCCAAATTAGGAGCTCTGATGAGGATGATGTTATTGTTATATCCTCAGATTCTGATTACATTGGGAGCAGTGACGAAGGTATTACTTTTATTTTTTATGTAAATATTAATAGTGACATTTTTATAGCATGATAAGATTTTTTTTCGTTGATGCATGATACCTATTGGTTGACCTAAGACAAAAGTTCATACACACAATTATGGATGTGCATTGAATAGTTAATTGATCACAGTTAATTATGTGAGTGTTGGTTTACCCATCTATGCAGATGAAGTCCAAGCTACTGGAGTTGCTGATATTGATTTAACTGCGGAAGCAGTTGGCCCAATATAACACAAGGAAGGAAATCCTATAGACCAAAGGGTAAACATAGTATTAAAATAAATGAAGAGCCAGTAGAAGAAGATTGTGTAATGAATGATGTAGGAAAGGGTGGTGACCATGTATTGATGTGGCAAATATGGGAAGAAGAGAACAATAGGTGGATGGAAGAAAACCATACACTTTATCTGGACTTCAATAGTCAAAATGAGTTTATGAGTGAAACTGCTGAGCAACCATCTGATTTGATCATTCCCTTGCTGAGGTACCAGAAAGAGTGGTTGACTTGGGCGTTGAAGCAAGAAGAATCAACAGCTAGAGGTGGTATCCTTGCTGATGATATGGGGATGGGGAAGACTGTTCAAGCCATGGCTTTTGTGCTTGCTAAACGCGAAATAGGGCAAGCAATTTCTAATTCTAGTTTTCTCTCACCTGCCCCTTATGTGCTCCCAGCAGTGAAAGGAACCCTTGTTATATGTCCTGTTGTTGCTTTGATTCAATGGGTCAATGAGATTGACCGCTTTACCACTATAGGAAGCAACAAAGTTCTTGTTTACCATGGTGCCAACAGGGAGAAAGATATCAACAGATTCGCAGAGTATGATTTTGTTATCACTACCTACTCCACAGTGGAGACTGAGTATAGGAAAAATATCATGATTTTGCACTCTATGAAGTGGAATCGTATTATTCTGGATGAGGTAATCATTGTGTAACTAGACCCACATATTTGGTTTTGCTTGATATGCTTCACTTGAGGCAAGAGTCTATCTAAAAGAACCTCTCTACCTTCACAAGGTAGGGGTAAGGTTGTGTACACATGACCAACCACTCTACCATCACAAGGTAGCTAGGGGTAAGGCTATTGTATATTTGTTTTTCTTACTGAGAAGTCTGTTCAAAGTTCACATTTATTGGTTTTGTGTGACATCTGTTAAACTTGTTGGTTTCCCTATATATTGTTTGTGTCTGATGAAAACCCTTCATCCATAATTTTCTAACGGATTACACTTTTGTGGCACAGGCCCATTGTGTAAAAGATATACGCAGCAACACTACAAGAGCTATTCTTGCACTAGAATCTTCTTTTAAGTGGGCCTTAAGTGGTACTCCCCTCCAGAACCGTGTAGGAGAGTTGTACTCACTCGTAAGTTTTTTTTTATTAATGTTCTTTTGTGGCTAACATAATTCACAACTTCATTCTCTGAAATAAATATATCCTTACTTTTGGACAGGTCCGTTTTTTGCAAATTAATCCTTACTCGTACTACTTTTGTAAAGATTGTGACTGCAGAGCTCTCAACAATAGGTAGACTTAAAATCTTATTTTTTATCTTTGCACCTAACTTGGTTGGAGAGAGAAACATATAGCTGAAGATTTGTTTTATTTGGTCATTTTCACCAGAAATTTTGTCGTTAATGTTTCTTCCTTGAGTGTCTTTTTATTTTTCACCTTTTTGAAATCTCTTGTTTGTTCCCTTTTGTGTTTGTATTTATTTTAGCTCATTCATGTGCCCACATTGCCACCACAAATCTACTCGGCACTTTTGCTGGTGGAATAGAGTAAGTCATCAAATTGATATACTTATTTTGGTGCTTCATGTTATTTGTGATAAAAAAAAAATGTTGTTGCTGACACGGAGACGTTGATACATCTTATGTTTCTAGTATATTGCCTCACCCATACAATTTCAAGGAAATCATGGGATTGGTAGAGATGCGATGGTTTTATTGAAACACAAAATTTTAAAAACGATAATGCTAAGGCGTACTAAAAAGGGAAGGGCTGCTGATCTTGCACTTCCTCCAAGGATTGTAAGTTTTTTTTTCCACATTAATGTACTGCTAGAGTTGTTAATTTTTTTCTCCTCTTTAGCATGTTACTTATTTTTGCATTTAGGTTACCTTGCGCAAAGATTCTTTGGATGCTAACGAAGAAGACTACTACACATCATTGCGCGAAGAAAGTCGGGCAAAATTTAATGCGTATGCAATCTATTTTTGTCAGTACTTATGAAACTACTAGCTTACTTGTCTGAAAGTCATCTTTGCCTTTTTGTTGCTCTCCATTAGCTACTTATGGTTATGTTCATATTGAATTTGTTTTAACGACACAGATCATGGTCTTTTTCTTTTATGGTGTTTTTTTCTGGTCTTTGGATTAAATTCTTGCATGGTATATGTTTCATCTATTTGCCATTTGTTAAGTAATCCTGGAAAAATACAAACGTTCCTTTTCTTGAAAATCCTGAAAAATGTCTATTTTACACCGTTTTTCATGGAATATGCTCAACACTAGCTATTTCACCTTGTGAAATAGTAAATAATGAGAGCCAGAATAAGCAATGCATTATTCTTCTTCTTATCACTACATTGTTTCTTCCTAACGTATTTTGGTGCAGATACATTCAAGATGGTACGTTGATGAATAACTATGCTGACATTTTTGATCTACTCACACGCATGCGGCAGGTATGGAGATCATGCTTTCAATCTGAATTCTTCTTAATTATGTATTGATACCTACTTGTATTTGGTTTTAGTTGTGAATAAAAATTTGTGTTATAGGTTCATTGTTAACCTTCAAACTATGAATCTAATGTAAATTTTTTTCTTAACAAGATCTAGATCAGTACTTCTACATTAATTGAGGTAAAATAACTAAAGCATGGAAATGAAATAATTGATGTTGTTAATGGGTTAAATCTTTCAATATTGCATAACTCAGAGATAATAATTTCGTCCTTCAATAATTTCTTGGCTTTCTTTTTCCTTGGATATCCTCCATCGAGCCATTTTTCTGTAACCTTTTTCATTGTAAGTTTTTCCTTCACCACTTATATTTTTTCTTCAGTAATGTTTTCCTTGTTTTTTTTCTTGATCGATTTTGTACTAGCATGCACTTCTTTCAATTTGATTAATCTTTTTTTGCTTCATTTCTTTTTATACTATTTAGTTTTTTTGACTTGTAATATATATTACTTGAAAGATTACACAAGGTATAATATTATTGTTGTTGTTGTCGTAATATTCATTGCTATTCTTTCTATATGATGAAGTGTAATTTCTACCCATGAGAACCCCCTACCAAGGCGTCCGTCCGACAGTGATCCTTTCCTACTATGTTTCCTTTGTCAATCGAATCCACATGACATATGATTTGGTGGTGGAGTTAGTTCCCATCCATATGTTTTTTGCAAATGTATCTATATCACTATATCACATTGAATTTAAGTTGGCGTAAAAGTGGATGCAATATTTGGATACCAAAATGGAAGTGCCTATTTTATATTTCTTATTTTTAATTTTTAATTCCACGAATGAAGAAGTACAACGCAAGAACAAGAGCAAGAATTGACTTCATTAGTGTCTTGTGGCATCAACTTATTTGCTATTTTTAGCATGCCTTGGCTCTCTTGTTGGATCTCTCGAATTTCCTTAACAATTTTAGGTCCTTAAAGATATAAATAGTTCAAACTTCTTTGACTTCCTATAATCTATGCACAGTTCTACCTCAAAAGTAATAACTAGAAATTTTTTGCTTATATTTGATTGATTTTTTTTTTTTGCAGGCACTTGATCATCCTTACCTTGTGGAATACTCAAGTACTGTTGTGGATAGAAGTGGAAGCACAAATAATGTTGGTTATGTTGAACAATCATGTGGTTTATGTCACGATCTAGTAGAAGATCTAGTTGTGAGTTTCATCCTCTTCCCCTTCCCTAAGAAAATAAATAAAAAGTATAAAAGAAAGGAATAAGTTCAGTCATAAGACTTGATACTTCACTAAAATTGGATTTGATGGAATTCCTATTTGCAGTACATTAATATTTTGTATATTATATGGTGGATATTTCAAATCTTAATGTGGACATATTTTTCCACACTTACACCTATGATGTCTTTTGAAAGGATATTTTGAATAGGTTTTTAGTCCTTCTTTAAGTGCATGAGCTTCTGCAAATTCTTTTCCAGCACTATTCGAAAGACCTCAATATTTTACTAGAAATGCTTTGAGGAATGTCTTTTAACACCTAAAAGGACTTCCATGAAACTTGTGGACTTGATGATTTAAATTCTCGTACCTTATTTCTTGACAAACTAAGAAATATGCTATGAATTCCTTTACTATTATTTTGTCATTCGAAGTTTATACCTACTTTCCTATTAAAATGTGCACCTCTTTTGATTATTGCAGGTTACTTCTTGCACACATGTCTTTTGCAAGTCATGTCTGATAAGTTTTTCTGCAGTTATGGGACAAATTTCATGTCCGTCATGTTCTAAATCATTTACAGTGGATTTCACCGCAAATGATCAGAAAACTAAAGCAAATATCAAAGGGTTTAGGTCTTCAAGTATACTGAGCAAAATTCGTCTTGATAATTTTCAGACAAGCACAAAAATAGAAGCTTTGGTATACAATTACTTTCCAATCAATAACTATATCTTATCTTGTCTTTATAGTTTGCTTTATAGTTTTATTTTCTTCTCACAATGAGTGCAAGGGACTGCAATACTGCATCACTTGCAGGAACTAGATATATTTCCTAAGGGTCCCATACCATCACTTTCAAATGTTGCATCAAATACCACCTCCGCTTAATTGAGTGGAAACTAATTGAGGAATAATAAATTGTTGTTGTGGTCTCAATCTTATATATATCCTTTAAAATTATGGCTTAAACATGTATAATCTTATTCTTGTGTATATCTCTATTATGGTAGTAAGAGCGTTCTCATTACTTGTTTTATTGGTTGAAGAGAGAAGAAATAAGGTTCATGATTGAAAGAGATGGTTCTACAAAGGCAATTGTTTTCAGCCAATTCACATCATTTTTGGATCTGATACACTATTCGCTACAAAAGGTAAGACATATTTTATTTATCCCCTTCGTACCTACCCCTATTGTTGCCATCAATAGTAACAACAAAAAACATGTCTTGTGTGCATTTGGCAGTCGGGCATCAGTTGTGTTCAATTAGATGGATCCATGACTATCACTGCAAGAGATTCTGCAATTACAAAATTTACAAACGATCCAGATTGCATTATATTTCTTATGAGCTTGAAAGCCGGAGGTCTTGCCCTGAATCTTACAGTAGCATCACAAGTAACATTTTCCTTTCCTCTCTTTGTCAATGCATATTCTTCATTTCTTGTCAAATACCATGGGTTTGACTCTATTGTTGGATTCCTTCGTCTTTTCAGGTTAAAATTACTTATTTTGTTTGGGATGTGTTAACTTCATCTCTGTGCAGATTAAGAATAGATACAATATGAACTTGTAATATTTCATTGAACCTAGACTACATTCCTTGATGTGCCACTCTAATCTTGCCCTTTGCTAGGTTTTCTTGATGGATCCTTGGTGGAATGCTGTCGTGGAGAGGCAAGCCCAAGATAGAATCCATCGAATAGGACAGTATAAGCCAATCAGGTGCGTGCTTGTGTTTCTTCAACCAACTATACCAATGAAGAGAGTTTATTGTTATTTTCTAATTTCTAGGATTGTGAGATTTGTGATTGAGAATACAATCGAGGAGAGGATCTTAGAGTTGCAAGAGAAGAAGAAATTACTTTTTGAAGGGTAAGTTTCTGCCAAGTTCATTGTGCTAGTTGCATGTGAGTTAAGAGAAAATAATTTGACGACTTGAAACTTTATATCATTTTGATATGTTTCTCTTCAGAAATGATATCAAGATAAATTAAGAGAATCAATTGTTTTTTTTTATGTCCTCTAGAATATATAATATTGGTCTAAGATGAGCTTTAAATGGAGCGATATAGTCAACTATATTTAGTTGTCTAGATATTTACAACTAAACATTAAGACATTTGGGCTAGGGATTGAAGTAGGGTCATGCATTGTTTTATCTTCTTTTATTTTCTTAGAAAAGGGAACATGATCATACATGGAGAGCTCAAATAGGTATTTTATGGTTTGTCATTCATATAGTTTATTTATATGTCGCAACAATAAACACTTAAATGTTTTTCCCTCAAATGTGATTTAAACATATACTATCATTGGCGTATTCTGTTTTACACTTGGCTTTCGATTCCCCTCCTTTACTTTGACACTCCTCTCTTCTCTCTTTGGTGTGTGAATTGCCCGATATTGATTTTTTTTTTTGCAGGACGGTGGGTGGTGCTTCTGAGGCCTTGGGGAAACTAACAGAGGCAGACTTGAAGTTCTTGTTTGCAACCTAGATCAAATTTTGTTCTGTTACTAGGTTTAGCAAGAAAGATCATTCGATTTTTGTTTAGTTTCTTTCTCGAATCTCGCCCCTAGTATTGTTGTTTTTGCAAAGTAGGAAAGTCAATACTCTTGTTGTTAGTTTTACATCAACATTAACTTTATCATCATTTGTTTGAATCTTAATTATTATTCAAGCTACCTCCAGAAGACACTCTTAAGTGCAATTCCAAATTAGCAAGCATGTCAAATGCCTCTGATTAATTAGCTACTTACATCTTTGTCGAATTTGGTCATTATAATCTTTGTTTTATTAGGTATGACAACACATGTATCTTATATTCATATCTTAACGTGCTCATTTTAGAGATACTTTGAGTGATAGATGCCCAACATTTACTAAAATATAATATTGTTGGTCTTATATCTATTTTAAATTTGACCACGACCCGGACGAACTCGTATCAGCTTTGATGATTCCAACAGGTCTGAACATGTTTTATAATTGATTTGAATATTTGATTTTTTTTTCTTGGAGGTTCCGGATGAGTTTCAGATGCTCGAGTTGCATTCTAGTTAAATTTGAAGTTAAGACGCCAATTGGCTGCAGCGGGACGCCAGGTTCTTCTCCGGTGTGCTTCAGTGATTTTGACCTTCAAATCCATCTAACTTGATTTTTTCAATGAATGATTACATACAAGAGAACTAGGACCTAAAATCCCCTCAATTAGCATCATAACACAACAATTATTCATGAATTTGAGTTCACTGAGTTGATAAAACACCAACTTATCAAGAGTACATAGAAACATCTAGTGCATAATTGTTAATAAAGTAACGAGTAGAACAGAGAAAAAATATTGAAGGAAAAGAAAACTTTGTATTGCTGGAGATGCATAAACCAACTTACAATAGGACTCTTAAATCGATAACCAAGCAACAAACTACCTTCTAGGACTCCTAAAGAAAAGAAAGTAACTTAACCACAAACAACAACTGAAACCTAAAAGCTAGGACCTGCTAAATAAATAGTAAAGCGACATAAGAGAATGAATCGATTATCTATTAGCTTGTGTTGTACGGTATATAAAAGCTATACACTACATTAAAAATGATCTTTAGCGGCAATTAATTAACGACAATAGCTCAACTGCCGCTATATATATATAATTTTAGCGACAATTAGCACTCTTTGTATATGTCCCTAAAGACTTTAGCGACATTGGATCTAATGGCACTTAACTAATGCCGGTAAAGACTTTAGCACTCTTTATTAATGTGTCTATTTATTGCCGCTAAAAGTTGCTTTTGTTGTAGTGATACCCAACTGATACAAAGAGTCCTAATATATACAAAGTCTATACATAATAACTATAGGAGATAAAATAGAATTAATAAAGTGATTGAGATAAACTATAATTCTAGAAACTGGAAAACAACTAAAACTAGAATAAGCTGAAAAATAGGAAGAAAATATTTAGTTGTTATTACTAAACATGTTAAAAACATGTTGAAAGTAAGTGTCTCCACTAGCAACGGTAACATACAATTAACAACTTGTAACTTCTCGCAATTTGAAATAACTAGGAAGAAGCTAATAATTGGAAATAGTCATTTTTGGAAAGAACGAAAAATCTGGAAATTTTGTTAAGTTAAAATAAGTTGAGTTTGCGCACTTCCGAGTTTGTATGAGTGAGTTATGTCCTTTGGAAGTTAGGCTGTTGGAATAAGGAAAGTCCAATCCGGATTTTGAAAGGGTAGTTTGGTCTTTTCCTTGCCCAATTATTTTATTTTGTTTTTTGTAATTAAGTTAGGGTCTAATCATAATTAGATCAGTTTACGCTTTTACCAAAATACGCTAGGGCTTGGAGAAAAGAGAAAAGAAAAGGAGAAAGGAGAAGAGAAGCAAGATCATCAAGATCGTCGAGTTTAGCATGTATATTTCGTCGGGGATGATCCCTACAAGGTATGCGAGATCACATAGCATTGGGTTAGTTCACCCACATATCAATCATGATTCAATTTCAGCGAAGTTATTAGATTTGAAAGCAAATCCTTGAGTTCTTGATGAAATTCGTTGAATTCTTGTGGTTGTGTTGATGGGAGTTTTCTTGAGATTGATTCATGTTATTAGTTGTGTTTTTCAAGTAGATTCTGATGTATATTGAGGGTATCTGTGATACTAAGTGTTTGGGGAAATAACCAATCGAGTTTAGAGGGTTTAGAGTTGAAAAATGAAGGAGGAAATTCTTAAAATCTGGGTAAGGGGGTTGGGGCGCCGCGCCCCAAAACAGTCTCTAAAGTTTGGGTCTTGGGACGCCGCGCCAGCCAGAGTGCCCCACCCAGCTCTCTGAAGTTTCAAGGCTAGCGCCCCGCACCTCTCAGAGCGCCAGGGATGCTAGTTCTTCCCATTCGTCCCCCATCTTTTCGTACTAGTTCCTTAGCAATGTACTTATGTTTCCTAGTTGATTCCAACACTCTTAGGTACATCTAAACATCATGAAATCATCCATAAAGATGAGATCATGAACCTTGAATCCATAATCCAATTCAAGAAAAGTTAAGATCAAAGTCAAGAGATGTTCTTAGAGTTTTTAAAAAGTCTTTTCTAAATGTTTTAACTTTGTATTAAGACTTAAAGTTCAAGTTGAGTAAAGATTAAAGAGTAAAGTTTGAAATTCATTTCTTCAAAAGAATATGGGGACTATGTATTCCCAAAGGGTTTAAAAGGTTTTTACATTTAAACAAGAAAGGAAACCTCGATTTCCAAAGAGCCTTCGGGCTAGTTTTTAGAAAAGAGTAATCGCTTTCTAAATGAAGCAAGAGAGGAAACTTTGATTTCCAAGATAGCCTTTGAGCTAAGTTTTTTAGCATTAATCTCAAATCACAGAAAGAAGTATATTTTTAAACATAAGAGCTAATATTATAATTTTGGGAGTAGTATTGAGCACCGATATGGGGGAGAGTTCAGACAACTCACAACCCCCATAAACCATGTAGCCATCATGGGTAGAAAAAGGTCATACTTTTCAGATGATTCCTTTAGTGCTTTTTAGCATAGACTAGTGGATCCACTTAGTAGTTCAGGTTCTAGACCCTCGACAAGGTACAGGACGACCCTGGCAGCGTGAGGCAAAACGTTGTATCATAACAATAGATCTTACGTGATGGTTGTCGGTTAGAGAAACTCCCACAGAAGTAATTGTATTCTTAAATACACAGTTTATTGTATTTTTACATACATTTCAGAGTTAAATGTATCTTTGCCTACACACAGAGTTGACATCATGTTTTAAACAACTTTTCTTTATATTGCATTTGTTTTAAACTGCTTTATATTGAAATGAGTTTAGTTATGTTGCGTTGAGTTGAGCCAGGTAAGTTCTTCAGATTCTTTTCAAGCCTATGTTGTGTTTAGTATTCCAACTTGCATACTCGTACATTCAATGTACTGATGCCAGTTGGCCTGCATCTTATTATGATGAAGACACAGGTAACTAGGATCGGCATCCGGCGCATCGTTGATCTAGTGAGCACTCCAGAGTCAGGTTGTGAGCCTCCTTGCATTCTGGAGGAATCCGTTTATTGCTTTCAGTTACTTTTTTAGTTCATTAGGATGTCGTGGGGTTTGTGCCGACATCCATCTCAGTTGTTTTAGAGGCTTCATAGACAGTTAGATGTTAGTTCTTTAGTCTTTTCATTAACTTTATCATTTCATATGTTAAGACCTGAGTTGCCATTTTGGCCAAGTTGAATGTTTGACTTTTAAGCATTCTGAGTATTTTATTATTCAAGTGAGTATACTGCTTTTGATCATTATAAATATGCATAGAGTCTTCCGCTGAGTTAAGTAAGTCAGGCCAAGGGTTCTCTTGGGGCCAGCAATGGTTCTCGAGTGCCAGTCTCACCCAGGGTGTAGGCTCGGGGTGTGACACAACTTAATAAAGTTCTTGGCATTCCCTCCTTTAAACTGAAAGACTCTTAGTTTAATTTACTGAAGCTACATGCACAAAAGTACAAATCCTAAGTGATTCCCTAAGCTTCACAAATTGTGCATATTTTAGGGATTTAGTGAATATGTCTGCGACGTGGTCTTCCCTTATGCAATGCATAAGACCAATTGATCCATCTTCAGTAAGATCTCATAAAAAAATAAAACCTTACATCAATATATTTTCTTCTCCCGTGCAAAACTGGATTTTTGGACAATTTTATAGATGAATTGTTGTCACAATAAATTGTTGTTGCTTTCTGATGCTTGAAATTAAGCTCAGTAAGACTATTTCTTTGCCAAATGGCTTGTGAGGCACATGCAGTAGCAACAACAAATTCAGCTTCAGTTGTTGACAAAATAACGACTCACTGCTTCTTTGATGACCATGATACTGCATCTGAATTCAGCATAAATACATAACCTGAAGTACTCTTCTGATCATCTAAATCTCCAGCATAATCACTATCCGAAAACCTAATCAGTCCTGACCTTTCATCCTTCTTGTAGAACAACCCAAAGTCAACAGTACCTTTTAAGTAGTGAAGGATCCTTTTTGCAACCAAAAGATGCAATTCTTTTGGATTCTCCATGAATATGCTAATGAGGCTTATAGCATGTGTGATGTATGACCTCATTGTTGTCAAATACATCAGACTTTTCACAATTTGTTTTAAAAAAGTGTCATCAATTCTCTTTCCTTCAAGATCTTTTGTAAACTTCAAGCCAACATCTAATGGGGAAGTGACAGAATTGCAATTTCTCATTTGAAACCTGACTAAAATTTCTCGCATACTTCTTTTGAGAAACAAATATTCCTTCAGCTGATTGCAATATTTCTATGCCAAGAAAGTAATGCGACATACCAAGATCAGACATATCAAACTCAAGCATCATAGACCTTTTAAACTTTTCAAACATGACTCTATCATTTCCCATATAAATCAAATCATTTACGTGTAAGCATATAATCAACATTTTCCCTCCATCTTCACACTTTGTATAAAGAGTATGCTCATATGG